ATCATTCTGTCATTCTATCCATCCACCATTCTATCTATCACTTTTATGTTCTGCTCTTTGTTCTATACGTTATCATTCTCTCATTTACTCTGTTCATCATTCTATCTCATTTTCTATCTTTCTATAGTTTTTAGTATTTTTTGCTGTTGTTCTATCCATCATTTGTTCTGTTGTCCATTTCATTCTCTTTCTATAGTTCGTTGTCATTTCTTCTATCATCTTCTTTCGTTCTACCTCTTTCTGTAGTTCTTGTCAGTCTTGCTGTCGTTCTATCTGTTCTTTCTTCTGTTATTCTGTCTATCATTTGTTCAGGTTTTTGTTCTATATCTCACTGTTTTGTCATTCTTTCTTTCTGTCTACCTTCCTCTGTTCTATTTATTGTTTTACCAGTTATTCTATTCTTTAGTTCTGCTCGCCATGCTTTCCTATCTATCTATCTATCTATCTATCTATCTATCTATCTATCTATCTATCTATCTATCTATCTATCTATCTATCTATCTATCTATCTATCTATCTATCTATCTATCTATCTATCTATCTATCTATCTATCTATCTATCTATCTATCATCCATCCATCCATCCATCCATCCATCCATCCTATTCTGTCCGACATTCTTGTCTTTTTTCTGTTGTTATATCCGATGTACCATTTGCTCTGTCATTATTTTTCATTCCATCAAGCTCTGAATCTGGTGTTCTGTCCATCCCTTCTATCTAATTCTATCCATTATTCTATATATCATTATATTAAACATTTTAACTGGATTTGTATGTCATTCAGCCAATATCGAATGGAGAAGATAGTCGAGGGAGGAGAATGATAGAGCCATTCAGGAGCTTGAGTGAAACAAATTTAGGATCAGGGAAACAGAAATGCTCCGTATTTGCTTTTTTGGGGAGCCCATAGCTCTTTTTGGTGAACCTTTGCTCCTGCATGTAGTATTTTTAGTTCAAAAGCATAACTTGGGTAAATGCTCTAGTAGCGTGTATGTTTTTATGTGAGTGCGTGGTGCATTTGTGTACTTGTCTGTAAACAAGCTAAAGGGTTGTTTTTGTGGATAGTTAACTGATGTGCTGTGGCAGTCCTGGATGGCTCCGCACGCTACACACACACACACACACACACACACACACACACACACACACACACACACACACACACACACACATACACACGCACACACACACTCTGCTCTATTTACCCACTGTAAACAGAAGAGGAATCAGAAACTCACCGCTGGAAAGACTGGGTATCTTTTCCATTTACTCATTTTATAAGAAATACAGTTCAGCTTAAGAACATTTGAAACCATGAATAATGAGGCATCATAATAAGCGCATATTTATTATTCATAACATATTTATTCAATATCTAATTTAAGTTTATGCAGTTATTTTATTTAGTGCTATATAAAACTGATATGCTGTACCATCAAATCTTAACATATTACAAATTGTTCAAACGCCCTAATGTTAAAATGATGAAAAATATGTTTCATGTTTAAACATTTGTTTATATATATACATTTTACAGTGTAGTAGCATGATTAGTAGTAGTGTGTAAAATACTACCTGACAAAAGTCTTGTCGCCTATCCAAGTTTTAGGAACAACAAATAATAACTTGATTTCTAGTTTGGTATCAGAAGTGGCTAACATGAAAGGCAAAGGCTCAATAATGTTCATGTCTGGTGACTGGGGTGGCCAATACTGAAGCACCTTGACCTTCTTTGCTTTGAGGAACTTTGATGTGGAGGCTGAAGTATAGGAAGAAGCGTTATCTTGCAGAAGAATTTGCCCTCTCCTGTGGTTTGTAATGCATTGGGCAGCATAAAATTGTTGATACCTGTGACTGTTGATGTTGCCATTGACGCTGCAGATCTCTCGAACGCCCCCAAACTGAATGTAACCCCAAACCATGATTTTTCCTTCACCAAACTTGACAGATTTCTGTGAGAATCTTGGGTCCATGCATGTTCCAATAGGTCTTCTGCAGTATTTGTGATGATTGGGATGCAGTTCAACAGATGATTCATCGGAAAGATCTACATTCTGCCACTTTTCCAAATGTTCAGCTAGAAGTCAAGTTAATATTTGTTGCTTTTACAACTGGGATCGACGACAAGACTTTTGTCAGGTGGACAATCATAAAAAAAGTCATTAAATCAATATGAAAATTATTTAAATGTTACCATACAAACAGCTTATAAATTGCAGCTTCCATCAATCTGCAGTTTCATTCGTTGCCTTTAGTGGTTGAGAAACGCTACTGCACCTGCATGCATTCAGCTTTCCCCATCTGCCTCGCACTCAGACGCACTGATTACAAACAGGCAAGCTTTCACACGTTTAATCTCACCCTAAATGAACCCCTCACCTTCCTTCATCACCCTCACTCATCAATAGTGTGTGCTTGAGGATCCGTGTGTATGTTTCTTGTTTACAGTTCGTCTGTCACCAGTATAGGCCATTGGCTGGTGCGTAAGACTTATGTATA